CTCTGAGTGGCGGCGCGGAAGCCGCGCTGCCCCTGGATGGTGGGGGCTCCTTTATGCCAGTCCCAGCAAGTTGTCTGAACCCCCTGGGGGTCACTTTAGAAGCCACTGCCAGGGTTGAGACTGCCGCAGGGAGGGAGCGCGTCGGGGACAGCTTTGACGTTCTGGAGCTAGCCGGTCCCGGAGAAGCCGCTCTCCTCTTGTGCTGGGAGGTTTTTGTGGCTGCTGGAGGGGTAGCATCAGGCTTCAATGCCTTGCCAAACATTAACATTCTTATCTTCATCTCCCGCTCTTGAAGTCAATTTGCCACAATGGGTGCACTTATCAGGGACATGAGTTTCCCTCAGGCACCTAATACAGCCGTCAGCCGTTGGCATGGCTTCACGGCACACTGAGCATTTTTTAAAGCCAGTTGATCCAGGCATTGTCAGCACAGTTAAAGAAACTGATGCCTGTGTAATCCCCACTGTGGGTAGTCCAGTTTAGCGCTTTGCTGTAGCGCTTCTGGATAAAAACCGTTTGTTTGTTTGTTTTTTAAAGAAGAAAACAGGTAACAGGAACACAGCTAACACTAAAACTTTAACTATTTACAGGTAGACAACTAACTAAAACCATCACTGAAGGAGAGATCAGGGAGCTCCGACTGTGACCTGAGGCGGTTGAGAGGAACTGACGGTTGCCGGCTCACGCACGGCTGATCAAAGGCGTGAACGCTATCCTGGTGAACCACGCATGCGCGAGCCGGCGGAGCACGGCTATGAAAAGTCTCTGAGCCGCGGCGCCAGGACGGGACCCGACACCTAGAGTGGAGCACCCACGGGGCCACTCGAAGAAGAACAGCTGGTGCCAGTGGCTTCAGAGGCTGCCCATCCTTTTGCTGCGGTGCCGTGACTTTAAGCCGTGCTGTAGCTTTCGGCACCGCAGGGGCTTGAAGCGACGCCGGGGCTAGAAGCGGTGCTGCACTTTCCTGCCGTGCCGGCTGCTTAGAGCACTCCCGGGGCCGCTCAGCTGTTGCGCGCCCCGATTCCGGTGCGGAGTGGGAGAATTGCCCCAAAGCCTTAGTGGCAGGGGACTTCCTAGCCTGGTGTGCCTCTCCTCTACGTTTGGGACAGGAAGAGGCTGGAAGAGAGCAGGGATGGAGAGGCTCTCAATCTCGGGTCATTCCTGGAAGGCGGGGGAGGCTCTTGCCATGCTGTAGGTTGTTCCCCCACAGGCTGTAAAGCTTTTTCAAATAGAATCCTTCTGAGGCGGAGCTCACGATCTTTTCTGGCTCTCGCCGTCAGGGAATTGCAATGGGTACAGTTGTGGGGACAGTGAGTTTCCCCTAAACAGTGTATGCAGTTTGAGTGAGCCGACAATCAGAAGCTAGCTTCGGGTCCCGGCACTGACCGCATTTTTTAAAGCCTGAGGAGCCGGACATGGCGAACTCTCTCCTCCTTCAGATTATTATATTTATTTTCTATACTGTTATTGTAGTATGCCTTTGTGTGGTTTTTCTTTTTTTTTTTTCTTTTTAAATGTCTTTATGTGTCTCTTGCTTTGACAGCCGGGAGAACGCCGGTTCACCGGAGTCCCTGTTTGAGGTGAGTTCCTATTTCTAGGTTTTTTGGGTTTTTTAGAAACAATGGAGAGACTAACTTGGATAGAACAGGGGAAAATAACTATGGCTAAATAACTAAAGGAAAAGTAGTCAGATAGTCTGACAAGGAGCTCCTGTTTGCTCTGTCTGCTGATGAGGGCGGTTAAAGAGGAACTGAAAGGGAGGGGGTTGAGCCACGCTCCTCAGGAGGCGGGAAGGGCTCGAGACGCCTCCTGGGCATGCGTGGCTCAACAGGGGAAACTGCTATACAAAGCTCCGATCTGCAGCTCAGAGCGAACCTTCACCTAGAGTGGAGCACCCATGGGGACATTACTCGAAGAAGAACCAGTTTCCAATATTCTGATGGATTCTACAGGATTCTCCTGCTAACCCTCTGTTGCAACCCAGTGGTATGTGCAGGTTTCCCTCATCCTTTTGTCTCTTGCAGTGGAACTGCACTGAACAGAAGAGTGAACAGAAATCAATTTAGCTGGTCTTCTCCAACTTTGAGACCTTTTAACAGCAATCCTGATTCTGTATTTAAAGGGGGACTTCTACATCGGGGAAAGCTTGACTAAAATCCAATGTAAACTCAAAATAGCGTACACTGAGTGATACTACCAGCGTATTTGTATTTAAACACTGTGGGTCTGTGAATTGCCCAATTCCTGCAGTGAAGTCTAAGTAATTAACTGTTGATATGGGAAAAGACTATTATTAACACACTTACGTCCTATGCTCTCACAGAATGCGTTTGTTTTACGTGTTCAAGGGAGACTATTAGTCACGTATACTACTATCAATGAACAATCACCTCACTGAGCTTACAAAGTGCTTACTGCATTAAACGCAGCAAAGTGACATCTTATTGCCATTTATTTAAGTTGCCTGTTCACTAAACATGTCCTCCTTGTTTGGGGCTCAGCTGTGTCTAGTTGTAGTTACTTTTAAAAGGGATGTCAACTTGTAGCCAACTACATGGTTAATCTTGCTGACTACACACACTCCGCTTCCCTTCCTTGCTGTCTCTGTGAGGGGGGCAGGGTGGAGCCAATACTTGTGGGGAGCTGGCTTTCAAGCAGGCTCCCACTGTGTGCCAGCTCTGCTGACCAGCCTGCCTCCCACAGAGGCAGTAAAGGGGGCCAGGCAGGAGCCAGTGCTAGGGGGAGCAGGCTTAAAAGTCAGTTCCCCCCAGCACTAGCTCCTGGGTGCTGCCTCTCGCCCCTCCCCTGCTGTTTCTAATAGAGGCAGCGAGGGCAGGTGGGGAGTTCAAACCCCCCGCAGACAGGGGCTTTTGCCGTGGACTAGTCTCTGTCCACAGGGAGCTCGGACCCCCTACAGACAGAGGCTGCTGCCATTGTATGAGACGCAGCAGCACCCGGTGACAGGCAACATGCCTGCACAAGGAGCTGATTTTTAAACTGGCTCCCCTCGTGGACTAACTCCCACCTGGCACCCTGTTCTGCTGCCTCAATACAGAGGCAGCAGTACAGGATAACAGGGGGCTCCCTGGGAGTGGGGCCTGGAGCACACTGGCTGCTGGCCCTGACCCTGTGGACAATAGAATAGTAATGTAATCACTAAGATTATTGTACATGACTATTTAATTACACAATATCTAACACCCCCACTTTTAACCCTACAGTTTTAGGTTCTGGAAACATCAGTTTGATGCTTCTAAAAAGACCTCCTCCTCCCCCCACACAAAAAAAATCATCCATTTCTCTTAGCTTGTGAGACTACCTACTTTTGTGTGCCAGATACTAAACAGAGTAGCTAAATATTTTTATATCGGCAAAACAATTTGAGTAACAATCAGACATAGTTATATGCAGGGTTGTTGTAGCCATGCTGGTCCCAGTATATTAGAAAGCTAAGGTAAGGGAAGTAATATCTTTAACTGGACCAATTTCTGTTGGTGAGGGAGAAAAGCTTTTGAGATTCTACAGTAACCTGAAGAGCTCTCTGAATTCTCAAAAGCCTCTCTCTATCCAACAGAAGTTAGTCCAATACAAGATATTATCTCCCCCATCCTGTCCCTCTGATCAGAAAGTATCAGGAAAGCAAGACTAATTCTTACCATAACCAACTGGCTCAGAGATCGTATTTACTGTGCAATGGAAACACTGTCAAATTCAGGAAAGGCAAGTGGTCTGTATACAACAGAATGATCTGTTCTAGTTTCTTTGGCATGAAAAACATTCTACCTTTGACGTGAGTTAAGCTTGGTTTTTTAGGTCACTGGTTCATTTGCGGTCAGTGCCCTGGGTTTTGTTTTCTGAGCTGGAGCAATGCCAAGGAGGTTACTACTGAACAGAACGTGAGATGAGGCATGCAGCATCTGTATTAGGAGGAATTCAAATACTTTACAAAGGTGAATAAGAATCGTCACCCCCATTTTGTAGTTGGAAAAATGGAGGCAGGACGTTAGGTGAGACGTGAGTGGCACAGTCAGGAACAGAACCCCCGCATTCTGATCTCGTCCCCTATTCTAATCAGCAGACTAGTTGCCCTCCACAACAGTCAGCTTTGATTGGATTCAAGTCATACCAAATAAATCCATCATGCAATTCAACCTGTGGAAACCTCTGATGTTCACAGCTGTTTATCAAGGAAGTAAAACACCAAAGTGTTTCCTGTGGGGTAGCCATCTGACATTTCCTCTACCTGGACATCTCAGCAGCCTGCCAGATGTTCTTTTTTGTTAATTCCATTTTAGAATCCTTAAAAGAAACATCCTCAGACGCCTGTTCTAAGGGAGTAGAGAGGGCATGTGTTTATTCACAGTGAACACTGTTATTGCTACAATTTTTGATGTGTTTGGAGCTTTTAAAATTCAAATAAAAGACTATTTTCCGTGTGCTTGTTTGCCTCCTCGACACCATGCCCACACATCCCTTGTACCTCCATCCATGCCTTCCTAAATCTCCTTTCCCGCTTTCCATTCATCCTCAATCTGCTGTCATCTCATGCTCCTGGGTACCCAACCCCCTGCATGTCCCTACTCCATACCCATGAGTTTCTTCCTTCCAGTCTCGCCATTTACCCATCTTGTTTCCCACTCCTCTACAGTTCATCTATCCCTCTTTTGATTTTGGCCTTCCTCTGTTTATCCCATCCTATATTCTTGTCCCTCTGCATTTCCAAGTCTCCTTACTCCACCTCTGGCTTGGCCCAGAATCTTTGGATTAAAAAATAATCTTTGTAGTGTACGAGTTTTCCTATAATACAAGGGAGACACAATAATAAACAATTGAGAAATGCAAACACCCAGACTTACCCGCCCGCTTCCTCTTCAAACTAGGAACATGGTCATCTAAATTCTTGGCTTTTGTCAGGGAGAGGAGTTGCTCAAATGATGTGGATGATGTCGGGTCCCCTTCACATGTGGTGCTAGGGCAGGAGGAGCCCCGTATTGGGGGTGGGGGCATCTGCACAAAGACGGGAAAATATTACACTAGGCACATACCACTGTTCCACTTCAGAGGCTGATTGTTTTTAAGTGAAAGAATCCAAGAGCAAGGCTGAAGATGAACTGAATTTTGAGAGGTGTGAACATGTATGCACCTGATATATGACTGAATAATTAGTTAGTATAGTCAGTGGAGATGGGAAGGTTCAGCACAGAAAGACCTAGATGGAACAAAGGGATCATGAACTATAAAGGGAGGTGAGTGGGAAACAGCACACAAAATCTTGATGATGTTCTCTCTGCAATGCAACCCTGTTTGATACAGATGCACTATTCCCACCCTTCCCTCTTCCAATGAGAGAGCTCTCTTTTGAACCCTCCTACTGGAATGAGAATTCTAAAATTAATTTCAGGCTCACACCTCCTCTCTCTCACAAAAAAAGCCACACAGAGTACCCTGCCACCTTTACTGTATATTCTTTAGACCCCACTATCTTTCACTTAGCCCTGAACTTCAAAATCTTTTTATCTATCAGCCTTGCCTCTTGACAGCAAGCAAACTATACTGTACTATCAACTCCAAGAGCTCCTTAATGCCAAAGTATTAAATTTGTCCTAGTGCCAAAAGGGCAAATGATCAGATGATTTCTGCCCTGTGTTATTAACTGCTACTGCTTCTCATTTTACATACCAGCCAGCTTGGACATAAATAATTTGAAAGTCTGATCAATTTTTCCAAACATGTGACCTCTCCATGTGGGTGACAAGGGAAGTTTAGGAAGTACAGTATCAATTTCACTCCCTCATTTTATATACCAGATCAAACCAACTTGTCTGTAGAGACAGGCTGAATAGGAGGGAAAAAAAGAGAAGAGGTTTTTTTTTATTCTTTGAGAGCTAGCCCAAAAGGCCCTGACTCTTGATAACACATACCATGTCTTCCCAGGGGAGGGCTCACCCAAGAATCCCCCGGTGAAGCTCAGAGTCCTGAGTAAAAGGGATCACTTAAGAATGATGAGACCTTTCACCCAGCCCTCCTACGGCTAAGTGTGCCTAGTTCCTGACACACCTGGACAAAAACACCTTCTCTGTCTGACAATACCTACGATTTTTTGAGCAACACGGAAGAACTGGGAGACTTCTCTCACTGCATGCCCAAAATTGTCGTACACCTTGACATAAGGACGGACCCAAGAGGGTAGCTGGGATCTTACATCATTGCTCACAAACCTGTGGAGAATTGGAAAAGAGGAGAAAAAACTCTCAAATAGTTCCATTAAATTAATCTTTCAACAGAAGGCAGCTTTCAACATCTTACCTGAAGGGCTGAAACAGAGACACGAGTGAAGACTTAAGAGTATATGCAGACATTGTCTACAACAAGATTAATTAAATTTCATAGTAAGTCCATGCTAAGAAGGAACAGTAAGAAGAAGAAGCTGGGTGAGCACACAAAATACACTAGGAGTGATTTTTGTTCACGGGAGAGCAAAAGTTGGCTAGGGCCAGGTGTTTGCCTCTATGACTTACAACTCTGTAATGAACTGCAATGCTCCTACTAGGCACCAGTTATATCATGCTGTCCAAAACTATGGGGCAGTTGCATTAGGCAGAAAAATGTTCATTAGTGATTGGGCTGACACCATCAAATTCATTCCTTACTTGTGAAGAGACCAGGATTCATACCCAGTTGTCCAGAAATGAAAGATACATTCTAGACCATTAGTTCTCTGAGTCACCTACCTCATAATCATTAATGTCAGTCTTGAGATAATTTATTTTTAAATGCAACTTTATTGTATCTGGAGGTTTCTGGGGGCTAAGTCAGAAATAAAGGAAGAAGCTGCATGTAGTGGAGACCAGATGAAAAGCCTGAGAAACAAAACATTATAGGAAAATGGAAATAACCAACTTTCTTCCTCAGGAACTGAAACGGAAAGCATGTGAAGTACAAACTGGTCATTCAGTCTCATTCTTAGGAAAACAAAAAGGATATGCATACTCAAGATGGTCGCGCAAAACTCCTACTCAAGCTGACACTGTTAATGGCAATGGCCGGAATTAACTCATATCACAGAAACAAGATTCTGGTTAGAAATACAAGTGAGACCATTTTTAGATTTTCTGACAATACAATCCTTGTTCCTGTACCTCTCTTCAAAATTGCAATTACTGTACACTGCCTTCTCAAATTTAGCATGAAGCAGAACTGAAACCTCTGTATTCATATAACTTGTATTAGCGTTTCAGAAGTTCTAACTTCTGGAATGAAAGTAGTAGTTAAAAAACTACATAAATACATGCACACACAAAACCAATCACCATTAATATACTGACAGCTTATTCTGCATCTGTTAATACTACTACCAGGCTCACACAGGGAATGAGGAGAGAGATGATTTTGGGAGAGGAGAAGAGAGGATGAAAACTGGATGTTATTTTCACTTATTAGACAGAATGCCACCTAGCTCATTGCTGATGATCACGAATGAACTATAGCCTTCTTCAAAGAGTCATACTAATGCATATATACAAGCACGACTTGCAAGTGTGTGTGTGTTGGGATGCAGGTATGTTGACATATACATCATTTTCAACACAAGAATTCACCTGTGGTCACAAAGGAAAATGGCACCATAGTCCAGGCGATGTCTGATAACCCTGCCTATGGCCTGGTTCACAGCCCGAGAAGCCTGCTGCCGGTACCACTCACGCCCGGATAAATACTAAAAAAGCCAAAGGAGGGGGGGGGGGGGGGAAAGGACCAGGAAATTCAAATAGATAAAATGTATTCTCAGTGCAGAAGCTACTCATCTCAGTCACCTATACATGATGTAAGTGTGTCTCTAAAAGGTGAGAGTCCTAACATTGTCAAGTGCAGGATTCTGCTAAAGAAATCCCATCGGACTAAACTGAGGCACTACTTGCTTCTATGGAACCTTGACCTAGTTATTAATACATAACCTACTCTACTATGTAGCCACTGAATTAGGGCCTGTACTCAGGGCCCTACAATGTCCTTTCCATGTCATTAAATAGCTAACAGCTACCCTGTAAAATGAGAAAGAAAAATTATATAATATTTGTACTCCAACCTGAAAGGCTGTCAAATATGGCCCATTGCCACCATGGTTTATATTTCCTGACCATACTTCCTGGGCAAAATATGCTCTTTGAAAGATAAATGGTTACCATGCACTCAAATTACCCGGTACTTTGACTCCAATTGCGTTCAAGGAATTTATAGCCTGGGTTTGTTTATAACCATAGTAATCAAGACGATCACTAATCCGAACTATCATTACTGTTCTCTGAGATACATTGCACAGGTTCATTGTACTTCAGGTGTGTGTGCACCCTGTGCACCAGGCACACACATGCTTGAAGTGAAATAGACATGTGCAATCACATGAAGAATTTAGAATTTCAGCACAACCCAGCAGGGGAATATCAAATTTAAATGGTGTGAGAGAGCAGCTTTGGTTTCTGTGGCCCCATTGAGACGGGAAGAAAAGCCATATAATTCAGAGAGAAACTACGAGATGGTGCACTGGCAAAAAACCATCTGCAAAAAGTTCCCCAACCTTACCTTTGCCCCTGAGCCTAGTCTTTTCATTTCATCCAGGAATTGCATCTTTAAAACGACTCTTGGCTCCATGCGAGGGGGAAATGGAAGCCCAGTGATAACAACACCTCGGCCGTTCGTGTCTGCAAAGTCCAAGCCTTCGCTGGCCTGAAGATGAACAGTGCTTTCAGTCACTAACAGGGAATTATTTTCATTCAAGTGTTCACAGACTACTTCAGAGATTTTCAGGAGTTGTGGTCTCTCTGCCTTAAATTACAGCTTGTATTACAATTGTAGCTTGAGCATAGTAGAAACAAAAAGCTCGAACTGGATTCCTTGCTTTTATTGTCAGGGCTTTAATTCCAGTGGTTTCTTACTAACAGGCAGTGACCATGTAACACATCAGCCAATGGGTTTAAGAAGTTTCTCTGCTTCTCTCTTATTTCTATGGTTTCTGAGACAGTAAGCATTTCAAACATCTTTCTGATTTCCAGGCTGAGTTGCCAGCTTACTCATTACTGATCATGTAATTCATGCCTGAACTTTCTGAACTGTTCACACACCATTAATACCATCTATTTGACAAAGAACGCTCCTCTTCTGGGGCAATGCGTAACAATATGACTTATATTAAGAATATAACAGACCTTGCTCAACATTCAAAACAAATACAATCATTTTAAGAGAATCAAATTCATTTCTAAAAATAGGAAAATATGACTGTTAGATAACCAAAACTAGAGCAGGGCTTCAGGGCAGGTGCTGGGTTTGAACTCACTCACTCGTTTTTATTTATTTATTTATTGAAAGTGAGCAACATTTTAGACAGCTGTTTATATTAGGCTGACAAAAACGTGTCAAGTTTTGTTTAATACAGTCCTTCTCATACAGGAATATACCTCTTCTTTGAGCAGCCTAAGAAACTGAAGGAAAAGTATGACAGTCCCTTTGAGATCATGCATGTACCACTAGTAAAACCATGAACAACAGACCTTTGCACTTAAAATAAATTTAGAAAAACTACATTCTGCATTTGTTCCTTTATTTATGTAGGGCTTTTATTGCATGTGATTATTTAGAGATATACAAGCACACATATTTCTCTGTGCTAAACACAGTATCTGGAAGAGCTACATTCTTCCAAACTTAATGCAAAAAAGCAGCTTGCTTTCAAGAATGACACAAATTATTGCACAATACCTTCCCCCGACATACTGCCAAGAAAGTAGCTCCACTAGACTTGGAACAGACGATCTTATCATAATATGCATCCATGACCTACAAGACAAACAAGTTAGGTAAGAGGAACGGGGAAACCATCTCCTTCAGACACAAACACACAAACTTGTATATCATAACATGTTTGACTCACATACTAAAACTCAAGAAGTAGTTAACTAGGCTTAGTATCTGTTTTCTTCTGGAGTATAATTATGGATGTCAGAAATGTTTGCTTTACGAAATTCCCTTATTACAAAGAAACCCACAGATCTTCTCACAAACACAACATTATGATATCACCTCTCTCAGAAAGGAAAACAAAGAACTTATACAGTGTTCTTATGACTCCACACAGGCAAAAAGACAAACAAAACAAAGCAATTTGAGGTTATTATCATTTACTCTAATAATTATCAAAGAACATGGGCTGGAATTCAACTGAAAAGAAAGAGGTGGGAAAAGTGTGGGAAATTTCAAAAAATTAGGAAAGTAGAAGGATATTCATTTAAAAACTTTAATTTTGTTTTCTATAAACCGTCTTTAGCAAGCAGTAGTACATGAATCAATATCTGAAAAATATGAAGAATCTCATTTTAACAATTTGATTAGGTACAGAAAAATCAGTCTTTTGCCACCAAGACCTAAACTAGGGATGTTAGATATCGTGTAATTGAATAATTGTGTAACCACATGAAAACTAAATGCTTAGACGACTATTCAATAGTCCCTGGGGATGGCAACCAGTGCACTTCCAGCCCCCATCCTGGGGAGCTCCCTGCCACCTCACACTGCTGCCTCTTTATCAGAGGCAGCAAACGGGGTGCCAGGCAGGAGCTGGTCCATGAGGAGAACCAGTTTAAAAACCTGCTTCCCACACAGACAATCTTCTTGCCACCCTGCGTAGCTGCATCTGAGAGAGGCAGCAGTGTGGGATGGCAGCAGCCCCTCTCCGTGGGGTGCAAGCTCCCCAGAGACAGAGGCTGGTCTGTGACAGCAGTCCCTGTCTGCAGGGGGTCTGAGCTCCTTGTGGACAGAAGCTGGTCCACAGCAGCGGCGTCTATCCACGGGGAACTTGGACCTCCCGTGGACAGGGGCTGCTGCCGCAGACCAGCCTCTGTCCACGGTAAGCCTGGGCCACTGCAGACAGAGGCTGCTTCGCGGAAACTTCCTCTGCTCCGCATCCCATGCTGCAGCCTCTAATAGGGGGTGGGGGAGGGCACAGGCAGCACAGTGCTGGGGAAAAACAGCTTTTAAGCTGGCTCCCCTCCAGCACCAGCTCCTGCCTGCCCCCCCTCACTGCCACTGTAGTAGGCAGCAAGGGGGAGGGCAGACGGGTCCACAGAGCCAACAAGTACGGAGGGTCTGCTTGAAAGCCGGCCCCCTGAACGTATTTGCTCCAGCCTGCCCCCCCTTACCCTCTGCACTGCTGCCTCTCTATCAAAGGCAGCAGCATGGGGGACGGGGAGGGAAGAAGATGCAGGGCTTGTGGGGAGCCTGCTTAAAACCAACTCCACAAAGGCATTGGGGGGAGGGGGAGAGGGGAGGGAAGAGTGCGTGTAGTGGACAAAATTAACTGGTAAGCCTAGGCTTATTGGTTAATCGTGTAGTCGACTACATGTTGACATCCCTAACCTAAACACCTAAAACATCACTCAAAGCTGAGAAAAAATTGACACTATGAGACAGAGGGAGATCAACCTGACTCCCACTGTACACACAGGTAGGCTGATGCAAGAATTCTCCTTTTGACCTACTTACCTCCTTACGAGGAGGTGGATTTACTGCAGCAATGGAAAAACCTCTTCCATCACTGTAGTGTTTATTCTGCGGCTTTTGTCACTTGTAGTGTAGACACAAGGACATCCGGCATAAACCCATTCATAACTACGATATGTACGTTATAGGCTGAATTAAAACCCCTTCAAATTGATGGGCTTAACATGCCCTCCATTCAGGTTAATGAAGGGAGCAGTTAAAATGCCCCTTTTCATTTAATAGTAGTGAAAACAACAGAGGACAAAACATAAACTTGTATGGAAGCAGAATCTATACCATTTGGGGCAAGGGGTTTCCCAAGGACTGATATGCAAATGTAGATGTTAGGATATTTGTGGAGCTGTGTGCCTGTGCTTTGCAAAGAAATAAAAGAAAACTCCAGAAAGCAGCAGCAGAAAAGCCATCGTAAACACACAATCAGAACAAACACAGGAAATACAGTGCTAAGAAAGCCCAAGAGAGCACTTCTGGCAAAGAACTTGGAACTATGAAAAAAAAATTCAAGGAAACAGGACTTTGTATGCTTCTTTTCACATAGAAAGAATTGTATCAGAGAATCACCTTGCTCCATCACCAATTTCTATTCCTAACTAGAACAATCTGGATTGTTGTTTGTTTGTTTGTTTATTTGTTAACTGCTTAGACTCAAAGTGTAACAATAATTTAGTTAGAAACGTTCTTTAACATGTTAAAGGCTTAGTATCTCAGAAGAGGCAATGATTCAGTGAAAATTGACAAACTCTACCTAGCATCTTCCTCAG